ACCTCATGCTAATAATACTCCGCACGGAAAAAACCTCGTGCCACAACCAAACAGTCATCTCAACAAGAATCACGAAAGTCAACACATAGTAAGTGAAACAATAATATTACAAGCAAGGAATCCTACAGTTAAAGAACGAATACGGACAGGGTGAGTAGGTAATTAGACTAAGCATGTTGTACAAATTGCAATTAAGAGATGAGACTCATAGACATATGAAATTAGGCTAAACATGATGTATACACGTGCTAGAATAACTCAATTAAGGCATAAAAAGGAACCTACTTAGCAAAGATCGAAATTTCAACATTTAGCTTGTGTACGCACTCGTCACCTCACGTACACGGCACTCACATATCACAGATTGTTACAACAGTACCAAATTCTAAGGGAATTTACCCCACACAAGGTTAGACAAGTCACTTACCTTAAACCTCGCTCGATCAATCAATAAAAATGCCTTTCCCTCGACTTTCCGAATCCGAACTACCCAAATCTAGCCAAAAGCAATTACATACAATAAATATAACTATAAGAAACTAATCTAATTAATGCAATTGTGACTTCAATAAAGAATTAGAAAATTGCCCCAAAAAGTCTACCCGGACCCACATCTTGAAATCGGGTAAAAGTCACAAAATCCGAATACCCGTTCAACCACGAGTCCACCCATACCAAAATTACTCAAATCCGATACCAAAATCTCGATCAAAACCTCAATATTCGGTCTAAGAAGTTTACACCTTTTTCTCCCAATTTCTCAACCTAAATCCTTAGTTAAATGAAGAAATCAATGATAGATTAGTGAAATATAATAAAAAATGAGTCAAGAATCTTTACCCAAATGACTTCCTTGCAAAACTCTCAAAAAATCGCCACAAACTGAGCTCTCTAGGTCCAAGAATCAAGGTGAAATCAAACCCTTGAAACTAGGCCTTTTCTGCCCGATGAATTAACATCTGCGAAACCCACAGCCGCATCTGCGGCTACGCACCTGCGGAAATTCCATCACAGTTGCAGTTCGAACTTAAGCCCAGAAGACTCGCACCTGCGGACCTTTTAGCGCTTCTGCAGACATTGTCTGCTTCTGCGATCCAAGGCCTCCCTGGCCATATCCGCTGCTTCGATGGATTCTCCGCATCGACGTGTCCGCTTCTGCGGCACATGGACTGCACCTGCGGTCCCAGATTGTCATGGCAAAACTCGCTTCTGCGGCTCGAGGGCCGCTCTTGAGGTGCCACTGCGACCCAAAATGCGCAGGTGCAATTGCACCAGAAGCAGCAGTGCTTCAGCGATGCACCAAGTCCAATTTTGTTCCAGATTCAAATCCGAATCACACCCGCGGCCCCCAGGGCCCCATCCGAATATATCAACAAGTCTTAAAAGATCATACAAACTTAGTCGAGCCCTAAAATCACATCAAACAACACTAAAATCATGGATCGCGCCCTAATTCAAGCTTAATAAATTTATAAACTTTTAACTTCCACATTCAATGCCGAAACTTATCAAATCACATCCGATGGACCTCAAATTTTTGCGCACAAGTCACATTTGACATTACGGACCTACTCCAACTTCCAGAATCATAATTCCACCCCGATATCAAAAGTTCCGCTCCAGGTCAAACTTCCCAAAAATCTTCCAATTTTCCAACTTTCGCCAATTAACACCGAAATGACCTACGGACCTCCAAATCAACATCCGAACATGCTCCTAAGACCAAAATCACCATACAGAGCTATTGGAACAGACGAAACTCCATTCCGGAGTCGTCTTCACACAAGTCAAGCTACGATCAACTCTTACAACTCAAACTTCAAACTTAGGGACTATGTATCCCATTTCACTCTGAAACTCTCCCGAACCTGATACCAAGCACCCCCAGCAAGTCAAGTAACCATAAAATGAAATAGAGAAAGCAGTAAATAGGGGATCGGAGCTCATACTTTCAAAACGGCTGGCCAGGTCGTTACACTTATATTGTAATTGACCTTCAACAATACATGCATGATCACCCAACTACACCTAACCAACAACTACATCTAACAACCCATCTCCCTATTTTTTACAACACCCAACTCAAGTTTGAAGAGCTTATGGTTTCCAATAACTATACCATAACCTACAATTACATTATTGAAGATTTCATGAGAGCTTGGGATGAAACCTTACTTTGCTAGCCGAAGACCTTTTAAGTTTCTCCCCTCGAATCACCAAGAATTGAGTAAGAAATTAAAGTGTAAAAGTGTTGGAGCTCCTCCCTCTCTCTCTCTCTCAAGGATGGTTCTCTCTCTCAAAATAGATAAAAAAATTTCCTTCTAAAACTTGATCTTGGCCTTTTTATTAGGAATAGCGTCAGATAAAAATATTTTCAAAAATTCCCCTCCGAATTAGATTTGCAATCTTGAAAAGGACCGTATATCGCCTCCACGGTCCACCAAATGGTCCTCCAAAAGTTTGAAATATACTGGTTGGATATGTGGTCCGCACTTCTATTTTGCGGTCCGCACATTGGGCGTCCTTCAAAATTCCCTAGGTGCCTTGACCATTTTCGCGCTGTATTGCGGCCCACGAAACCACTATTTGGTCCGCATTATCCACCGCGAAATTCCCCAAACACTGGCACGCTTCTGACTCATTCTGTGACGGTTCTGCATTTAGCGAAGCTGATTCGCGATCCGCATAATTGACCACAGAATCATGCTCTTAAGCTGGTTCTTTTGCCCACTTCGCGAAGCATTGTGCGGTCCACAAATCCGTATCAACAACCTTCCGAACATCTTAGCTTGTCCTAGACACTATACAATCTTAGTTCCGTGACGAACTTTTATAGAGCCTTACATTATAATTATTAACCCGATATCGAACCAACCGATATCTTATCGGCTGTCTAGCGGATTAGTACATTAAAAATTAATAATCGGTAAGCCGAATCGTTAAATGTAAATATCCGTCCGATCCATCCGATAAGCAGGCCTACCTAATATGGACACTTCAATGGATATTCGTCAATCGTTCTATATGCTGACTAAAATTAGAGTAATCATGTGAGATCAAGTGCCAAAATAATATTTTGTCGAGATTTGTGGTTGCAATATTGAAGATGAGATGAAAAGAACAACACCAACTTACCAGGAAGGAAAGAAATTGTTGAAACTCAACCTCAGAAGAGAAGACGAATAAAAAGTTGCGATAAGATGGTTGTGTAACAAGGTCTGAATGCAAGATTAAATGATTTCTAGGAAAAGTGATCCAATTAGTCCCTATAATGAAGAACAGCTTTCTTCCTTTAATGAGTAAATTTTGATCATTCAATCTTGTGTATGCAAAAGTTAACTTTATTTTTTTTTGTTACGTAAAAATCATCTAACTTTATTACCTAAAAATCACTTTTCTTTCTTCTGTTACACAAAAATTATTCTACTTTACTCTATTTATCACAGAAGTCACCTTGACCATATTTTATAATACTTTTACTTGAAAAATCTATTATGTCCTTGACATTATAAATCCTCTCATTTATGTAATACCTTCTATATTATATACTATATAATATATTTTACATAAATATTTTACTTATAATTAAAAAACTTTAAATTATTTTATTTATTATTTTTATAATAAATACATTTAATTTTTCTATGATACTCAATTTGTTTAATCATAATTAAACATGAACATATGTTAAATATAAAAATGATGAAAAAAATATTTATTTTAAATAAAAAACCAGATTTGTTTAATAAATGATAGTTTTTCATAGTCAATAAAATATTTGAAAGAAGTTTCAAAGATATTTGCATTTAATATTAAGTTTTTTAAAGCTTTATCTGTTAATATTTTTTATTTGAAAGTATTAATCTGAGGTGCCATTTTGCTAAATGTGAGTATTTTATTTATTAAATTAGTGGATATGGCTTGGTTGATAAATCAATGAGCTTTGATTTTTTAATTTTCATTAAATATATTTTATTAAGCATGATTATGAACGTGGACTTGAGGTTTGTTCACGATAATGTTACTGATAAATTTACTAATGCTTTATACATCCTGAAAATTAATATTGAGAAAAAATTAAATGTACGAATATATTATAAAAATAATAAATAAAATAATATTAAGTTATTTTAAATTATAAGTAAAATATCTAGATAAAATCATATTATATAGCGTATAATATAGAAGGTATAACATAAATGAGAGGATTTATAATGTCAAGGGTGTAATAGACTTTTCAGGTAAAAGTTTGTAAAATCTGGTCAAAGTGATTATCGTTATAACTAGAGCATAGTAAAATGATTTTGTGTAACAAAAGAAAGAAAAATAACTTTTGGGTAATAAACACAAAGTTGAATGACTTTTACCTAACAAAAGAAAAAAATGACTTTGGGTAATGAACACAAAGTTGAATGACCACTCATAAAATTTACTCTCCTTTAATGGATAATAATTCCAACTTTTGTCATAGACTTACCGAAATCCATCATTCTCAAGTTAAGTGAAGACGGAGGAGAGGCTCTGCAGGCGCATGTTTAGCGAGGTTTAGCTAACATACGCCTCCGCAATGGCTAGACAAAGAAAGAAGCTTCCATCACCGTCGGGAGCTAAGGATAACGAAGGAAATATGGAAACACCTGCTCAATCTCAACCTGGGCAATGGTTAACGGGTATAGGAAGTGCACCCACTGTTTTTCACAACCCAGCTCAAGGTTTGGAAACTGACGGAGCGATAATTACGCCGGACACCGGAATTCAACAGAAACGGCTGCCATTGACGTTTGGAAGTTTTTTACCACAAGAATTTCAACCAGTTATGGAGGAAATTGAGTGTGAAGGGGAACAAACCATAAAATCTAACTTTTCGGCAATGGAGAAAATGGAGGAATCGTTAGTTCATCGACGATTGCAATTTTCAGCAACAGGAAGCAATGGCACCTTTAGAGAAAATTTGAAATAAGGATGAAGTATATACCATGCAGAAGAATCGAAGCTCACAAATGGGTAAGGCTTTGAACTATGTCCCTCCTACTATACGAGAAGGTACATTTATTGTGCAAATTGAGGCAGAAGACACAAGGGAACAGGAAATTTACTGGAGTACAGCTCTGATTGCTTATGTTTTGGGTGATAACCCTTATAAGAAATCAATGGACAATTATGTGACTAATGTTTGGAATTTCGTAGAAAAGCCCCAAATCCTTTATCATGATGAAGGATATTATATTTTTAGATTCCAAAACATTGAGGAGAGGGATCTGGTTTTACAAGCTGGGACGTATACTTACCACAATAAGCCACTCATCCTGCAGCATTGGAGCATGGATTTTAAGTTCGACCCAAGGTGTGTGAGTGTTATTCCTCTATGATTCAAATTTCATGGGCTTCCACTGGGTTTTTGGTCCATAGAAGCTTTGAGCAAATTGGCAAGTGTTGTTGGGAAACCTCTCTACACGGACAGAATTACTGTTGAAATGGAGAAGGTATCATACGCAAGAGTACTTGTTGAAGCTGATGTTTCACATCCTCTACCTGATAGTTTTGAAATGCAAACTCCAAAAGGGGTTATCAACCAGCAGATTGAATATGATTGGAAGCCTAATTTTTGTTTCGGATGCATCAGATTTGGACATAATTCAAATCAATGTTGGTTGAAGGAAAATCAGGAAATGGTAGAGAAGTTCAAAGAACAGCCAAAGAGAAGAAGGAATAAAGAAAAGCAAAATAAAACTAATCTGAAATGGCTACCAAAGGAGCATAAGGGGAATGAAGCTGGTCCATCAGGGGTGCAAACAGAAATGGAGAAACAACCTATGGTTGAGACAGAAGGTTGTAATCAAGTGGCAAATGACAAGCATGATGAACCAGATCAGAAGAGTCAGGATGATAGAGCAAACGTCAAAGGGAAGGATATTCAACAAGTTCCAGATGCATTGATCAACTCTAGCAATAGATTTGAAATATTGCAGATGAATGACACAGACATAATACAAGGAGCTTCACCCAAAAATGAACCTTTGTAATTGGAATGTAAGGGGGCTGAATAATCCCTACAAACAGAAGGAGTTGAGGCTCTTTCTGAGGAAGTATAAGGTGGATTTTATTGGGTGTTTGGAAACAACAGTTAAAGAGAAGAAGGCTACTAGAATCTTGAAGCAAGCTGCCAGGGATTGGAGGGCTTGTTGCAACTATAATGCACATCCAAATGGTAGAATTTGGTTACTATGGAAGAGTAATATAAATGTCCAGGTGTTAGTGGTTGAAGATCAGTTCATACATTGTGAAATTCAAGAGATAAGCTCCAATTTCAAGGCTATGGTAACTGTAGTTTATGCAAGCAATGACATTAATCAAAGGAATCAACTGTGGAGGAAGCTCATTCAGATAGGGGCTAATATTCAAGACAGTTGGTTACTAAGTGGGGATTTCAACAATGTTCTTCACACTGATGACAGGATAGGAGCACCAATTACACAAGCAGAAACCCAAGGCTTTCAGGATATGATAAATACATTACAGCTTTCTCAGGTGAAGAGTTCGGGTTGGTACTATACTTGGTGCAACAAGCAACAACCTGATAAAAGAGTGTATAGTAGGATTGATTGGGCTTTGGGCAACTTTGACTGGCTACAACAGTATAACCACATAGCCTTGCTCCCTCTGCTATTGTAGATTTAGGTATGGCCACAACTTGATTGCTTTAACTGTTCATTTTCAACAAACCTCCAAGTACAAAAGCCATTATAATACCAAGTAAAAGTCCAAAACTAGCTTCTTGAAGTTTAGGAACCATATGCCATTTGTACCAGAATGCCATTAGAACCATATCAAACTTAAGTGCAATCATTTCTATCTTGCTTACACTACTAGAAATTCGGGTTTTAGCGACCACGAAAAGCGACCGAAGTTGGTCGCTTATTGGCCAAAAAGCGACCAAACAGGCGTGGTCGATATTAAGCTGGTCCCTTTACCTTGGGGACCAAAGTTGGTCGCCAATTAGCGACCAACTTTGGTCTCTCAGGTAAAAGGACCACATTTTCCGGGTAAAGAAAATAGCGACCAACTTTGGTCGCTACAATATTTTAATATTATTGTTTTGGCGACCAAAGTTGGTCTCTTACTGTAAAATTACATTTTTTTTATTTATTATTAATCATAAAATAGCGACCAACTTTGGTCTGTAAAAAAAATATTATATTTTAAAATCTGGAAAATAGCGACCAAAGTTGGTCGCTTTACTATAAATATTTTAATTTTTTTAAAATAATCGACCAAGTTGGTCGCTAACTTCAAGTAATTTAATTTTTTTTTTTAGAATAAGCGACCAACTTTGGTCGCTATATTTCCAGAAATTGTTATTTTTTTAATAGTATAGCGATCAAAATTGGTCGCTTTTTGTGAAATCTGGGTTATATAGCGACCAACCTTGGTCGCTATTTTCCAGAAAATTATTTTTTTTAATAGAAAAGCGACCAAATGGCGACCAACTCTGGTCGCTTTTCTTGGTATATTGCTGGCAGGAACTGCCTGTTTTGGCAGCTACACCACCTGTCGGCTTACCAAAATTCCTAAATAGGCATTTTATGCCAACAACAACAACAACAAGCAACAACAACAACTAAAAAGCAACAACAACAACAACAACAACATAGTAACAATATTATAACCAACAAAGTATAAAGTTCAATAGAACTTTATACTTTAAGCTAACCAAACTAATAAGTTAACTGTTATTACAGAACTATTCGAAAACAGATTGTATTTGTCTAGTAGAAAGTGTATAAAATTCAAAGATTGTTCTGTACATCATTATCATCACCGTCTGATGAACTTTCTTCACCATGACGGTATCCAGAATGGGCTATTTGTAGAGGATGGGAAGAACGATCACGGGGAGGACGGGAGGAACGAGCACGGGAAAGGCGAGCCTCTGACGATGACTCACGAGACCGGGGAATCGGAAAACTGCCAGAAGCTAGGAGAGATTTGATCTGCTCTTGCATGCCCTTGCACTGAGCTTGCATGCCAGAGTACTGCATATCTCTAAGCCTTTCTCTCTCCTTGGCGGCTTCTAGCTCGGATGTGAGCTTTGCCACAGTCTCCCGCATAGAGGAGAGGCTCTCCCCATCAAGTTGCTCGGCTTGGGGGGAAGTCCCTATTCCTTGCATTCCACACTTATAGCGATGGAATTTCTTATTAGGAAGCCCGTATACCTTCCCCCATTTTGGACCGCCAGCAGCCTGCGTCCACATTCTCTCAGCATCCTCGTCCGATAGTTGGATTGGCGCGCCGGACTCATTAGGTGGCTGACTGCGTATGAATTGCTCCACTTCAGCTGTGAAGCGACCCTATAAGAAAAATAATATGTGAATTACTATTTCAAAATTTATATAAAAGTAAATCAAATTTTTTAATGAAAAGTGAAAACTTACATGTACAGTCGAGGCTCGGCCCTCGACCCACCTTTCTTGGTCCGTCTCTTTCTTCTTCTTCACAATATGAGTCTCCTTGAAGAGCTCATCTTGGTTCATCGGATGCCCCAACTTTTTTTCCTGAAAACTCATAAATTTTAGTTAATAAACAGAATACATATACTTTGAAAATTAAAATAAATTAAGCAATTACGTACCATTCTTCGTTTTATCGTCCCTAGGCTGATCGCACCTCCAGTGTGCAAGGATCCTCCCTTCTCAGATGCCCGGGCTTTCTTTCCTTTTTCGCTCTTCTGTAAGAACTCTGCGGTAAGCCATTGCCTTTGCAAATCATCCCATAAATTCTGAAGCAACCAGCCAGGCTTCTGGTTCAACCGCCTAGCTTTGGAGAAACAATGGGACAACCGCTTTCGAGCTTTTAGATGGAAATTTGCAGCCACTTCCGCGCTATAGCGGTGTTCCCATACACACTTGCTCTGTATTTCAAAAGTCAAGTATTATATGGAAATATCATATTTAGATGGAAATATCATAAAAGCTATATTCGATATATTATACTTAGCTTTTATTAGCTAATAATTATTCAAAAGTTAAGTGCATTAACTGCTGATAATATAGTATATTAGTGCATTAGGTAATATATATATATATATATATATATATATATACTATGCAATAAGTATTAGTGCATTAGCTAATAAAAGCTAAGTATTAATGCGCTTAAATTTTCATTAATTATGTATTAACGCACTAAGCTTTTATCGAATATATATAAAAGCTATATTCGTTATATATAAGCTAAATTCGATATAATATTAGCTAAATTCGATATATATAAGCTAAGTTATATTCTATAATACATATTTAGATGGAAATATCATAAATATAAATAATTATACTGCTTAAAAGAACATTTATACCTTAAATTGATTGAAGACTGCCTCCTTCAGCGAGAATGGGAATTCACTCCAAGTCGCATAAGGACCATCATAAAGCTTTCTGGTGGCTTTGGTGATGATCCTTGTAGTAATATTACTAGGGATGAACCTGCAATTTAATAAAAAAAATACATTAATATCTTAGTAAAACTGTACAAAACAATAAAAGTAAAAATAAGAAATAACCCTTACCCGTTACCCTCAGGGACTATGATGATCCTGCCATATTCATCATAATGCACCTCCTCGTCATCATCAGCATCATCGTCCGAAGCATGTATATCGGAGGCATGTGTGGAAGGTGTAGGGGGGTCAGAGCTAGTATCTCGCAGGCGAAGGCCTGCAATAGATGGAGTCCCAGATGAAGATGGCTGCGAGCCCTGGGAGTGCGACATAGCTGTATGGGCCGCAAGTGGACGTGACATTGATAGCTGTGACCCGAGTGGCTGTGACATGGATGGCTGTGATCTATGTGGATGTGACATGGATCGATGCGATCCATGAGATGCTGATGGATGCGATCCACGTGGTAGTGAGACAGGTGGACTGTATGTAGGACGTACAGTCCTATGGCCCTGTGAAGAAAGACCTGGTGTCTGCACGAAGGTGTAGGGCTGGTGATGCGGTGGCAGATCAGAATAGCCCTGGGGTGGAGGCCCAGACATAGGCATAGGCACAGGCATCTGTGAAGAGGCAGGAAGGGATTGAGTAGTATCTTCTACCCTCCTCTTTGGTTTCCTAGCCTTTTCTCGACCCCGAGAACTAGTAGGATCACTGTTACCTCGACCCTTGCCTGTCATCTGCATAATATAATACATAGTTAGATTGAAACATATAAAGAAACTAGCTATAAACGAGAGTTATTAAAGAAACCAACTTCTTAAAGCTCATCGACGTATAGTTCCTCGTCCGAGAATTCTTCTTCCTCACTAGTTTGAGCTTCATCAGTTGATTCTTCTTCCTCGTTTTCTATAATTCTTACTTCATTTATATCAACTTCTTCCAATATGTGTTCAGGATGTTCCAAATCATTTTCTAAAACTTCGTCCACTATTTGGTGAACACTGGAGATATTGTTTTGATATGCAACATCGAACACATTCTCGACTTCTACCCTACCCACAGGCTTAGTTTTTATTACAACCCACCGATCAGACTTATTCTGCCGCAATGGATAAGGAGCATAATACACTTGCCTAACATCATGTGCAATTATGAAAGGATCATTGCGATCATACTCCCTCGTATGATTAACCTCAATTATGTTGTATTGATTGTGTACTCTTGTACCTCTTGTTGGATGTGGGTCAAACCACATGCATCTAAAGAGTATCAATTTCTTAAATGGCCAACCTGTATATTCTAGTTCTATTATTTCTTTGAGCACACCATAATAATCAATATCTCCATCTTGGTTGCCATCACCACCTTGAACCCACACCCCACTATTGTTGCTATTTTTATTTTTAGAGCAATCCTCTGTATGAAACTTATAACCATTCACAACGTACTTAGACATTGTTGTGACCTCAACCCCAGGTCCCCAAGATACATCTTTTAAAAATTGATTTACACCATTATTTGGATCATTTACCTACATATCGTTAAAAAAATTCATAAGTTAGCATAACTTCCAAACATTGTTTACCTACATAGTGTTAGAATATTTTAAGGAGAAACTTACAAATTGTTTGAACCACGTATCAAATCTCGTATATACAGCATCATGGACAAATTGACCCACAAAGTGACTGTGACACATCAAATATTTTTAGTAGTTGCATTGAGATGTAATCACAGTAATTTTTATATTTGATAACTACTAAATCAATACTTACTTGAGATATGGTACAACTTTGGGATAATTTAGCAACACGTGAAGTGTAGCTGACTTGAACTCCATATCACTCAAACTTCTCTTTCTACCATCCTTAGAACATCGGCCTGGTTGATTGAATATGGACATAGGCGGATATAATGGATCATTCCTAAGGTCGACCGTGTGCCTGTTGGGCCTATTCCTAGCACATGGCACATTACTCTCAAAATAATAAGAACAAAAATGAGCAGTTTCCTTCGCAAGATAAGCTTCGCATATAGATCCTTCAATCATATTCCTCTGCTTAACAAATTGTTTGCATTTGCCAATTGTCCTACATAATTTCAGGTTAGCCAAGAACATTTGTTTAAATTAAAACAGAAAATTACATCAAACTTAAAATATTACCTCTCAAAGGGATACATCCATCTGCATTGAACAGGCCCTCCAAGTCGTGCCTCGTGTACAAGGTGGATTGGAAGG